CCTCCCTAGAAGCACCTAAAATCCTAGATTAAATATAACAAACATCCCTTAAATGAACAGCTTGGCTTACAAGAAATTAAAACTAATCCCCAGGGATCAAAAACAAAGAGGAAGCTGAAAGTCAGACAGTCTCCACTGCAGTCAATACCCCAGCTAATCTTGGAGAGTGGAAGCGGGCATCTCAATAATCTAGAGAACTGAGTTTTAACTCTCAGCCGAGAAAGGAACCACGTGTGAGTTGGAGATTGGAAGGAAAACTCCCTACCTTAGGCCAGGGTGCTCAAAGATTACATCCTCAATGAAAAGGGGGGAAAAAATATCAACCTGTTAAGTAGGGAGAAGACAAATATTTATCATTATTTGCTGTGGTTCAAAGTAAAGGAAAAAGTCTCCTTGGGAAATTAGAAACCTTCAACAGAAGGACGGGTAATGTGTGTATGCGTACGTAGTTTTATTCTGTGTTTTCCACTATCCTCAATTTAGCAATCTTCATGCCAAGAAATTAATACAAAAATTAGTTCCAGATTAGCAATACCCTAGAGGGCCTGGTAGAAACAACTACAGCACCCACCCAACAGGGCCACATCTGCAACCCACATCATGCTGGAATTCAACAACAAAGATACCAAATATGAGGTCCCAAGCTGAAATCTACACACAGGAGGAAACAACTCATTGTGAGGAAGAGTCAGAAATAAAAAGAGCCACCTAGGAACTTGAAATAATATAACTGTATGATAGAACCTTTAAAAGAAGTAGGCTAAAAATGAATAAGACATGAAAGAGGAACTCAAATACATAAGAAAAAAGACAATACAAAAAACAGGCAGATTCAAAAAAGGAGCAGTAAGCTGGTTCTGTGGTGCAAAGGATAGCACATTGGACTTCTCGCCAATCCTGTGTGGTTATTCAAAAAGGAGCAGTAGACCAACAGATTTCTCAACAGACAGCAAAGATAACAAATGCAACCAACGTAATCATTACATCAGGCAATTTTCATCAGTGGATTTTGCAGTGGATGCAAAAATATTAGATGAGAAGTTGTTGGGGAAAACATATTCACACAGATTCAAAGATTCATCTCCAAAATCCAATTTTAAAAAAAGACGGAAAAATACACCATTATAATAGAGAAACCTAGTAAAAGCTACCTCAACCAAGTGATCAAACTTAGCGTAATCAGAAGAACCAAGCAACATTATGAATCTCTTGATATGATACAATAACATCACTTATGAAGTATTCTTGTTAAAAAAATATTTAACCTGAATCTATTCATGAGGAAACAATCAGACAAATCTAGAATATCTATAAGCCAACTGGCCTGACATCAAAACACAAGATCATGAAAATCAAAAAAAAAGGAGGAAAGGTAGGAGGACTATTTTAGATTAAGAGGCACAATAACCAAATGTAATTCATGAACTTTGAACTGTGGACCAAAGAAAAATATTATAAAAAACATTTGGAGACAGCTGGGGAAATGAGAACACGGTTTGCATATTAGATTATGTTACAGAATAACTGGCAATTTTCTTATGTTTGATAAGGTATTATATATACGTAAGAAAATGACCTTATTCCTGGAAAATGAATCCTGAAGTATTTAGGGATGAAATACCACAATGTCTGTAACTTATTTTCAAATTCTTCAGCAAAAAAAAAAAAAAAAAGAAACACACACAAAGTATATAACTTTACAGACACATATATATGGATAGAGATATAAGCAAACATGTCAAAATGTTAACAGTTGGTGAGTCCAGCTGAAGGGTAATAGGTATTCACTGTAGTACCCTTGCAATTTTTCATTATGTTTGAACACTTAAGAATACAAATGAATGGCCAATAACATGAAAAGATTCTCAACATCAATATTCCTCAAGGAATCTAAATTAAAACCTCAATGAGATAATACATAATGGCCACTAGAATAGCAAAAATCAAAAGGACTGATAATACCAAGTGTGGGCCAGGATGTGGAGCAACCTGAACTCTCATACATTATTGGTGGGAATATAATATGGCACAACCACAATGGAGAACTGTTTGGCAGTTTCTTATAAAGTGAAACATGAATTTATTTATGCCAGGGGTTAGCAAAACAACACCCATCCACCAGCCAAATCCAATCTAAGGACTGTTTTTGTACAGCCATCAAGCTAAGAATAGTTTTACATTTTTAAAGCATTGTGAAGAAAAAAAAGAAGGAGAAAATGCAAAGGAGACCATAAGTGGCCTGAAAAGTCTAAAATATATTTACTATCCAGACAGAAATATATTTACTATCTAAACAGAAAAAGGTTGCTTGCCCCTCATCTACCCTATGACCCAGTAACTCCACTCCTAGGTATTTACCCAAGAGAAATAAAAGCATATGTTCACAAAAAGACTTGTAAAAGAGTGGCTATAGACGCGTTGTTTACAGTAGTAAAAAAATAGTGGGAGTGTCTGTAATTTGACAAGCTCATCCTAAAACTTACACAGAAGAGCAAAGAGAAAAGAATAGTGAGGATAATTTTGAACATGATGGGGGGAAAGGGACCAACGGAAGAAAACTGCATAGTCATCCTCACAAGCTAACTTTTTTCCATCAAATATTGTTTGCAAGTTAGTTGGCTTTCCTCCTTTGTGCGACTTATCACTTCATAGTTGCAGTTAACTTAGTAACTATTAGTCTTTTTCCCTTGCTTAACTGTTTTTAACATAAAATTAATAGCATTCACAATCAACTCTTGCAGTATTTTCCTATTACAATAATATTTACATTTAAATTTATGAATATATAAAGCATGTAAGAGTTTTGACTCCAAGTTACATTTACAATGCTCACCTCCTGAAAATAAACATTCAAACATTCACAATACATCTGAATAGCATGCCTAGTTCACATTACTAATATTGTAAAGCTGATGAGATATTACGGTAACCTTTGTGATCACGTGTTAAGGAAGCAAAATATGCTGTTGGAGGAATTCAACTTTTTGGCTTTCTTAAGACTGAAGCAGAAACCAAATGGCAGATTTGGCCCTATTGCTGAGGCTTAAAGTAAACTTTGAGCATTCCAACCATCCTTATTATCCTGCTTTTATTTACAGTATCTTTCTAGAAACTGACAAAGTAGGTCATACTAAGAGGAAGTTTTGACTGAGCAAGCATTGCTTCTGTTGTGGGGCCTGGCAAAACTTATTCTAAATTATGTATTATAATCTCTGGTATCCTCACTTCTATTTTCAGCCAAAAGTGGCTATAAGTCTTTAAAATATAAAACTACCACCTCTGCTTTAGGAAGGACATGAATGAGAAAGACTTAAAACTTAGACCAACTTTTTTGAAACTAATTTTTTCCAAGTCTGGAATGTGACTGTCTACCTCTAGATCAGAATACAAAGCTAGAAATCTAAGAATGGGAAAAGTCAGTAATGCTATTTGGGGCAACAACTTACAGAAATAGATTATTCTATAATACCAAGGCAGAAATATAAATATGTAGGAAAAAAATCAAAATATAAATTATTTTGGACTATCCATGCCAACAATCACCTCCATGATCACACAGCATAGAGAGGTAACTATATTTTGATGTGAAAAAAAAATAAGTGAAAGGTTACTGTTAGACTTGAAATAAAAACAATGATTGTCCATAATTCACACATTTTTCTCTCTCAATTTATCCATGAATGAAAATGCCTCCTGAGCTAATACTCTGAAAAGAAACACAAGATGAGAAAAGTGAATTTTAAATCTATGACTAGCTTGACAGTGACACAAACTTTTTTCTCGGAGTTTGCTGTTGATAAATACCTTAACTTTACCAATCAAGAAAAAGATTAAAGTAACAGTTTTCTCATTATTTCATGAATATCTTGTGAGGAATATAAACTACTATTTAAACTATCACAGTTAAAAGGAATTAGGGGCCAGCCCAGTGGCCTAGTGGTTAAGTTTAGCGTGTTCCACTACAGTGGCCCAGGTTTGGTTCCTGGGCACAGACCTACACCACTCATCAGCAGCCAGGCTGTGGCAGTGACCCGCATACAAAACAGAGGAAGACTGGCACAGATGTTAGCTCAGGGTGAATCTTCAAGCAAAAAGAGGAAGTACTTATATTTCATTCCACAAAGTTCCAATAATTCACATTCTTTTCCCACAGGATTTTTCTACTCATTCATAGTTCATTACTGCTAAAAAAATGTCTGCTGTGCTAAAAATCCCCAATAAAACTATATAGCATTTACTGCTTTATGCTATATTTTCTTCTGTTCATGTCCAATTAGCATTAGCCTATCTTTCATTTATCAAACTTTTAGGCTAACATAGTGGAAGCATTTAGGAAGGAGGCAGGCCTGGTGGCCTAGTGGTTAAGTTCACACGCTCCACTTCAGCAGCCCAGGGTTCACAGGTTCGGATCCTGGGTGTGGAGGACCTACACACTGCTCGTCAAGCCATGCTGTGGCGGCCTCCTACACACAAAATAGAGGAAGACTGGAACAGATATTAGCTCAGCGACAATCTTCCTCAAGCAAAAAGAGGAAGATTGGCAACAGATGTTAACTCAGGGCCAATCTTCCTCACCAAAAAAAAAAAAAAAATTTAAGAAGGTTAAACAATTACAGTAATTATAGTATAGCATTAGTGAGACTGGACTTATGCTGTGAGGAAGGTGCTCTCATAAGGCAAGCACTGTATAAACATTTCATTAATCTTTGAATCTTTCTTACGCTTCACTTAAATCTACTTAAAGTGGTGACCAGCAATCAGTCTAGCAATTTTTTATTCTATCCTAGGTTTTTAAAGCCTTGAAAAAAATAGTTAAGATATACATTGAAGACTCTATGATGCTATCATTTTGCTTAATACAAGAGTGAGCAACTAAATAGATATTTTTTTAAATTGTGTATACCCTTTTCAGGCCAAGAAAAAAGAATCTATATCTTTCACTTTTTTTCTACTTGACCCAAAATAAGGTCGTGATTCAAATAAAGCAAAAATATACTTACAGAACTAGCATCAACATCACTGTGGATGGCAACCGTCTTAATGCCCATCTTCTTGCAAGTTTTAATTACCTATTTTAAAATATAGTAATATTATCTATTAATAGTGATTCATATTTAAAGGGATGTAATAATAAAATTCACAGAGTAAAAAGGAAAATAAGATTAAAATTCTACTCACCCTACATGCAATTTCTCCTCTATTAGCAATAAGAATTTTATCAAAAGTCTGAAGAGAGAAAAAACACATAAATTGTTACTCTCATTTTGGGACCAGAAAACACCAAGTTTTTCCACAATTAACACTGGACACGATCCTAATAAACATTATTTCCTAGAGTAGAATTAAATACTATATACATATTCATTTACAACCAGGTTGGTATAAACTCATCTGGTAAGATCTGGCCCTATACTTATCATGTTAAAGCATCAACTCACTAAGTTCAATAATTTATAAGTGGACTAATGGGGTATTTATAACCTCTCTTGCCAAAAGATAATCTTCAAATGATATTTCAGAACACTAAAAAACTTTAGACAAAATTGCTTGACAATTTACTTGATAATTTACTTTCTAAATTCAGGAAAACTATAAATGTCATGAGTAGCTCATCAAAAGGAAGTCTGACAATTTATATGCCATCTCTGTTGGCTTGAGGTATAGCACTAAACAAGATTTTCAATAACTCAGAACAGATACTAATTATGCTTATATCCAAAGGTGCCCAGACCAAACAGGTTATGCTATTTGAATACAATGTTAAGTTTGGATAACCATCAAATTGTGAAGTAGCTAAGGCCACATAATAGAAAGAGTAGTTCCATTCTGTTTGGGGCTAGAGACGGAAATTCTAAGCCCAGCTTTGCCACCAATGACCAATTTGACTTTAACCAGAACAATCTCCGTAAGGTCTTTATTTCCATATACATAAACTGATAGCATTCTAATGGGAAACTATTTAGTAAGGTTCTCTTCCTACTCTAAAACTGTATAGGCTAATCCTTTTAAAGAAATGCACCCACAATTGTAAGTAATTTGGATGCAATACATTTTAGTACACAATTATTTCTGGGTTAGTGAATTGTTAGAAGTTAAATGGAACTACAAAATAAGTTTTAGCTATATTTCTAAAGGAAAACTTAAAGACACATATGATCTTAAAAGTACTCTCATCTAACTTAAAGCAATACTTTAACCTGACAGGGAATCAGAGAATCTCCAAATTGGAAAAGGCCTTCAAAGTCTTGGTTTAACCTTGATGTCACACGTGGCTTATGCCCTCAATCTAAGACAAGCCTCTGCCTTAAAATTGGTAAACTCCTAATTTGATAGACTCCTGACTCATTCAGAGCCTTGAGCAAAGATGGGCCCTTAAAATATCCTAATCTCACATCAGGCCTGAGACCCGAAGCAGACTGAGCTGGGACATCGGTCTTCCACCCTTGAACTGGGACTTACACCATCGGCTCCCATGGTTCTCAGGCCTTCGGACCTGGACTAGAATTATACCAACAGCTTTCCTGGGACTCCAGCTTGCAGATGGCAGATCATGGGACTTCTCAGCCTCCATTAATTTTGTGAGCCAATAAATCTGCAAATTTATCTCCTACTGGTTCTGTTTCTCTGAAGAAACCTGACTAATACAAGACTATTAACGTATTACCAATTAGTGCATGAGCTCAATAAAGCTAATCATATCAATTAATCTTCCCCACATAAGATTTTCTTTTAAATAAGTAACAGATGTATATGGTTCAGAACTTAAAAGGTACAAAAGGGGATACACTGTAGAGACACTCAGGACCTTGCCCCAAAGGCACTATTACCAGTCTTCTGTATATTCTTCCCAAAAAGCTATGCATACAAAAGAATATATATACAAACAAGCCAACTTTAAAACTCCTCCTCTCCATCAACAATTACAGGTAAATATCAAGCACATTCAATAACTTCAGTGCACAATATGGCACAATCACAACAAAATGCATTAAGTACTATAATACAGCCATGTCCAAGAGGCTGTGTTAAGTACAGAGAAGGGAGAGCGAACAGTACAAGCACGGGCAGTGACATGAAACCAGAAGGCAGCACTGAAAAACTGCAAGGAACTTTTGGTATAGCTCAAGCACAAAATATGTAATGGGGGGGCAGGGAGGACCTAGTAACTAAAGCTAGGGTGAAAAAAGCCAGATTATGAAAGGCATTCTATGCCATTTAAGGAACTCGGACTTTATCCTATATGTGGAGAGCCACATGTAGGGCATGCTGAAGATATTCTAAGGAAAAAAAATCCTTTAAATCGGGAACTTGAATGCGTGAAGACACGGGGGCTTTCAAGTACCATATGAGACAGAGAAGGACTTTTGTAGCTGCTGTTCTACAACTGCGCTAATGATGCCATTTGGAGTGAAAAATACAGGGAACTTCTCGAGGATTTTTTTAAGGTTTTCTTGGAATTCATTCTCTCTCTATCCCCCCCTTCCTTCTTTCCCTTCCCTATGCTTAGACCTTTATAGCTGGGGTCTAAAACCACCAAGGACACTTCATTCCACTCAGACACCAAGAGAACAGCCAAGCTGGCCCATTCCACTGGGTACTTGGAAGAATGACAGAGGAACTGCAGACACTGAGTCACTCACCAAACACTTCTGAGAAGGAGTACAGCACAGTGGGTAAATCCACCAGCTCAGGAGAAGGACACACTTGAATTCACACCCGGCTTCCACTTACTATCTGTGGGTTTTGTGCCTCAGTTTCTGAATGTGCAAAACCGAGTTAAGGATAGTATTAAGCAGCTGACATTTAGGGCACATGCTTTCTATATGCCAGCTCCCGTGACAAATTCCTTCTGTGTACTATCTCATTTAATCCTCATAATAGTCCTACGAGGTCAGTTCTGATAATATTCCCATCTTACAATGAGAAAACTGAGGCTTGATGATGCCAAATCACTTGCCTAGGTCACTTACAAAGTTAACTAGCGATAAAGTCAGAGTTCAGACATTCATGTAGAGCAGGTCATGATGTGACACAATCCGAAGAAAATGGGGCGAGCTTTACGCACTGTATTTGTTGTAGCAGGACACCATAGTAACGTACTGACTCATACTAATTTCAGGCCTACTGAAACTTCCTAGTCTTTTTCTAAGCAAATTACCACTAAGTTAAATCTTCCATATTCTCATGAACGTACATGAGACAATAAGTTGACTTGTTAAAACTCAAGTCAAAAAATAATACTTTTAATAATGATTAAATTTCACCTGGTTTAATTTTGACTTGATGAGAGTCACTGATAAAATGTGGAGCAGGAAAGGAGTCAAGGGCAAGTTTAGATGAAAATCAATTTATTTAACAAATATGTATTACCAAAGATCAGGTTTACTTGCACTTTAGACAGTAATAATAAATCGATACAGTATTTAATGAATGGCCACAAAGGAAGCAAGAATCCCTGGAAGTAGAAAGGCCCAATTAAATGCAGCCCTCAAGTAAAGAGAGAATTTAAGAACTTGGTCTGAATACGCACCTGTACTACCAATAGGTGCCCAAAAGTATCTTAGACTTTATCATGACTGAGGATGCTACACAGTTTCTTCAGGATTACCTTAGGCAAAGGCACAGCAAAGGAGATGATAAAGATAGCAGGTGGCAGATTTGATTTTCAGATATTTATGACAAAATAGGTATCAGCTTAGTGGATTCCAAGGGGAGGGGATACTCTTTAAATGTCCTAAACCAGGGCCAGTCCCGTGGCTGAGTGGTTAAGTTCGTGCACTCTGCTTCGGCAGCCCAGGGTTTTACCGGTTCAAATCCAGGGCGCGGACATGGCACAGCTCATCAAGCCATGCTGAGGCGGCATCTCACATGCCATAACTAGAAGGACCCACAACTAAAACTACACAACTATGTCCTGCGGGGCTTTGGGGAGAAAAAGGAAAAGTAAAATTTGTAACTGTCCTAAACCAAGATAGTTATACACATTTATTCCTAAACCAAGATAGCTGTACATATTTATTCCTAAATTCAAGCTGGCTATACACATTTATTCATCTATTTTTAGTAATTATCAATGGCCACCGATGTGGCAAGTGAATTAGAAATTCCCATAACCTCACTATGAGGTTACAGCAAAAATAAGTCTCAAACCAAATTCTGCCACTATCGACCATGGAAAAGATCAGTAGAATTTAAACAGCAGATACTTATTTGGGCAATTAGAATTGCAATTCGGGAGACCCAGATTCAGGCAGAAACCCGAAAGGTGCTCCAAGGAAGACAAAAGAGGCAAGGGTGTATAAAGGCAAAAAGAGATAAATTACACAGGTTGTTTTGCAAAATTTGTGACAGCTGCTGGTAACCACTGCTACATTTTAGCTATACATGATTGGTTGCTAAGGCCATCTCTAAGGCAAAAAGTTCTTATCTCCGGGAGTAAGCATCCTGGATAGAGGTGTGGTATACGTGTAGAAGCCCTCTTTCCTTAATGGCCTTCTGGCTCCATTTTAGAAGCCCTGACATATGTCACTCCATTTTATCATTATCCATACCACACATGCAAATATTTATTAACAGACATAAAAAGAACCTTAAAACCTGCTGGATAAGCTCAGTGAAGTCTCAACTTCCTGCACTTTGTAATGCTCCAACAGCCTGCATCAAAGGTTTACCTGAGACAAATGCATCAATACTTTGATTTGGCTAACGATATTGTCAGATTCAAGCTATCAAGAATCCTCCAGACCAGTGGCTGAACGCAGGACTACTTCATTTAGGGATCAAGCTGAGGCACTATCCCTAAAGGCAAAGGACAAAAGGCCAACTAGATCGTTATACTCCGTTAATTCAGGGGCTGAAAATTTCTATAAAACAGCCAAAACATATATCTTGAATACCACTGATTTCATCAATGAGAGCCCATTTATAATACATATTATGCTAATGAGGAAGGCCACCAGCGTTTATAGGAAGAAAGACGGCTGGACCACTTGTAGTATTCCCCATCTCTAGAATGTGGCCTCTAGGATAAATGCTAGCTAACCACTCCTAGAGTATTCTAATTAGGACAGCTCACTATCTCTAGATTGGAACTCAACACGTGTGCAGAAACATACATGCACCCCAAGGCATACTGTCTATGCTTAAGTTTTTAAATTAAATTTTAAATTAAATAGATTTCATAACAGGGAGTTTAACATAGCTAATTCATTTGGACCTGTGCCATCCAATAAGGTAACCACTAGCCATATGAGGCCACTGAGCACTTAAAATGTGGCTAACCAAACTGAGATGTGCCAGAAGTGTAAATTATACACTGGATTTAGAAGGCTTGGTACAAAAAAAAGAAAGTAAAGAATCTCACTGATACTTTTTATATTGATTATATGTTGAAACAACATTTTAGGTATTGAGCTAAATAAAATATATTACTAAAATTAATTTAACTTGATTTCTTTTTATTTTTTTAATGTGGCTATTAGTAAATTTAAACTTACATGTACCCTGCAGTTGTGTCTCACATTGTTTCTATTGGACCGCTCGGCTGCAGACTCTTTCTTTCTCCAAGTCTCCAGATTCTTGAGTAGTTTTGTGTAGTTCAGCAGATGATTTAGAAGAAATCTCAGCTATTTCATACTCACATAATCATTCAGATGAGTCTACTTTCAGGACATTCAACTTGAACCATCTCTTCCTAACCAAACTCTTCTTCCGCCCTCTTTGAAGCCTCATTGTCACTAAATCATGTTTTATCTCCAAACACCACTTCTAGTCCCTTTATCTCTCCTACTACAAGGCTGAAACATTACCATATACCAGGATTTTAATTGGAATTCCCTTGTCCCAAAATTTACAATACACATAGCTGCCTTCAATCAAAGTAAATCATATAAATATTAAGTAAATGAAAAATATCAAGTCTAATCAAAATCTCTCAATCTCTGAGTCTTTAAGAAAGAATGTTGTATTAGTTATTCTGCTAAAAACAAGGGAAATACATTGTAAATTTATTTACTTTTTGGTATACATACAAATACAAAATTGATGATTCGGGTTGTGGCCCACAATGAAAGAAGGAACAAAAATTAAGCACCTATAAAACCTATGATTTCAGAGGAATAAATAATTACACAGCATTAATAAAATTTAATTTGTCCACTGAACATAGTGTGGAGACAAGGAAGTAAAACCCTTATAACTTAGCTGTTGAGAGTATTTTTTAAATACTTACTTTTTCGTTAGAATCACATCTTGCTGAACAGAGACTACGGGACACCATTAAGCACTGTCTTGAATAGTGTGGAACATCCTACAAAAAAAAAGTGAAATAAATTACAGATACTTACATGAGTTTTAAAAATATTTTTTCAGGGTAATTCACCCAGTATGCTTCTAGCTAAAATGTTTTATCAATCAATATATGTAGTTCTAAGCAACATGCCATAACTATGGAAGGTAAATCATAACTACAGACACATCCCCCTGGCACACAAAAGAAATCAAAGGCAGGGAAATAATCTCCAGAAAAGTATAACAAAAGAAGTCAATGAGTCAAGCAAAATTTGAAGTAAAGTCTTTCTGATCATGCAGACTCAAATGGCAGGATCAGAATGTCACATACCACACAGAACTTTATACAACATAAAACAAGTCTTGGCCTTCAAGGAGCTTCAATTATAACAGTGACCAGAAAATAATAAAATGTTATTTTTTATTTGTTGATGTCCTATGATTTCCTTTTTTTTTTTTTTTTTTGAGGAAGATTAGCCCTGAGCTAACATCTGCCACCAATCCTCCTCTTTTTTGCTGAGGAAGACTGGCTCTGAGGTAACATCTGTGCCCATCTTCCTCTACCTTTTATATGTGGGACGCTTGCCACAGCATGGCTTGACAAGCAGTGCATAAGTCCACACCCAGGATCCGAACAAGCGAACCCCAGGCCACCGAAGCAGAACGTGCACACTTAACCACTGTGCCACCGGGCTGGCCCCTGAATATGATTTTTTATTTTACTTTTTCTGGTATAAAAGTGGTTTGGGGGGGCTGGCCCCGTGGCCGAGTGGTTAAGTTCGCGAACTCCGTTGTAGGCGGCCCAGTGTTTCGTTGGTTCGAATCCTGGGCGCGGACATGGCACTGCTCATCAAACCACGCTGGGGCGGCGTCCCATGTGCCACAACTAGAAGGACCCACAACGAACAATATACAACTATGTACTGGGGGACTTTGGGGAGAAAAAGGAAAAAATAAAATCTTTAAAAAAAAAAAAAAGTGGTTTGGCAGACAAAAGTGAAAAGGCAATACTAATAATCAAGTTCACTTCTAACTCATTATGTTTCTATTGTTCTAATACAAATGTTTGTGGAGAAAGTGTATCTTAAGGCTTTAAAACATTAAGAATAATCACTAATGAAAATTACAGCCAAAGTTTAAGAGAATAATTTACCCAGTAGTTACTGATAAAGCTGGACCAAAAAAAAAGGGGGGGGGGGGTGAGGAGCAAAAGGCAATAGATACCGTAACCTCTTAGAACTTTCTAAGAGAACAACTCAAATAAGAAGCAAAATGTTTCTATAGCAACATCTTAAAATGAATTCAAATATTTGTACAATTATTTTTTTTAAAGAATCAAGCTCCAAATTACAAAATGTAATCTTTACACAAAAGCGAAGGTAATAAGAGACGTCACGAAGATTGCGGAGTGAGTAGTCTTCTTTGTCTCTCCCGCTTCGAATCTACAACTAATTGGACATTCATCGCTTAAAAAAGGATATCCATATAGCATCTCAGGACGCCTGAGAGACCCGTGCTGCTATACATCGGAAGGCGGACAGACCTCCCCCCAGGAGGAGGTGGAGATAGGTGAAAACTCTCCGACCCCTGGCCCCCGAACAGCCTAGTACCTGCAAGCGGCTTTCTTCCAGCAGACTCCCCCATAGCATCGCCACACACCAAGGGCAGGAGTGTGTGTACACCAGAGAAGCGATGGTGGAAACAGGTGACTACAGCCCTACCTAAGCCCCCCACGATTACACCTAAGCCCAGAGGGAAACTCCAGGGTCCCGCACCAGCAGCAGGGAAAGCCTCTGCTCGCCATTAGTGGAGAGGCCCCACCCAGCATTCAGAACACCAGGAGGGTCCCGAGGAGAATCCTGGGCAGGGCAGCAGTCAGCCAGCCACCACTGGACTCACAGACTCCGGATGTCCCCCAGACAGGGCAAGGGGCTCCCGGAGATCCCCTGGGAGAGGACTGGGGCTGGGTGGAGTTCCAGCAGCCCGGCTCCATGGCCCGGGAGGAAAGCTAAAGTCTCACAGCAGCCTCAGCGAAAGCCTCTGCACAGCAATAGTAGAGAGATCCTGCCCAGCAATCACAAGGGTGGAAGGCCCAGGGGAAAAAGTAGCATAGCTAGGTGAGCTAACCACGAACAGCAGAAGATACCCATAGCTCTGCTGTGGCCTATAGTGGACAAGTGAGATTTTGTGGGCTCCGACAGTGACAGAGCTGCAAATATAGGTGATCCTGCTCCCGGCCGCTGGGAAAGCCCATAACACCACTGCAGACCCTAAGGAGGGAGCACATCTAGGCGGTCTGCAACAGTAGGCACCAGCAGTCTGAAGCACCCTTACGACTGAGCCCACAGCTGAAGAGGGACCCCAGAGGACCACTGAGACTACGAGGAGGGGCCCAGGCCCAGTTAGCAACAGCTGAGAGGGTTCCTGGTTGGTGTAATCTAAACAGCTGCTCCCCCCGACACACCAGTAGAAACAAGTGGAAGCAGTAACTAAACTGTATCTCTATGCGGAGGCACAAATCTACGCCATCAAGCAGTATGAAAAAATATATTAAATCTCCAGAACAGAAGGAAAATGACAAATACCCAGAAAACAATCCCAAAGACAATGAAATCTATAACCTAAATGATGATGGCTTCAAAACAGCCATTATTAAAAAACTCACTGAGTTAAAAGAGAATACAGATAGACAACTCAACGAGTTCAGGAGCTATGTCACAAAAGAGCTTGATACCATAAAGAAGAACCAAACAGAAATACTGGAAATGAAGAACACAATGGAGGAGAGTAAGAAAAATCTGGACTCTCTGAACAGTAGGACTGATAATATGGAGGACAGAATTAGCAATTTGGAGGACAGGAATATAGAAATGCTGCAGGCAGAGGAGGAGAGAGAACTAAGACTAAAAAGAAATGAAAAAAACACTCCGAGAATTATCAGACACAATTAGGAGATGCAAGATAAGGATTATAGGTATACCAGAGGGAGAAGAGTAGAAGGGGGCAGAAAGCCTGTTCAAAGAAATAATGGCTGAGAACTTCCCAAACCTGGGGAGAGAGATAGAACTTCATGTGACAGAAGCCAATAGATCTCCAAACTTTATCAATGTAAGAAGACCAACCCCAAGGTATATAGTAGTGAAGCTGGCAAAAGTCAATGACAAAGAGAAAATACTAAGGGCAGCCAGGCACAAGAAAATAACCTACAAAGGAACCCCCATAAGGATATCAGCAGATTTCTCAACAGAAACTTTACAGGCTAGAAGAGAGTGGAATGATATATTCAAAACTCTGAAGGACAAAAACCTGCAGCCAAGAATACTCTACCCAGTGAAAATATCCTTCAAATACGATGGAGAAATAAAAACTTTCCCAGATAAACAAAAGTTAAGGGAGTTCATTGCCACAAAATCTCCTCTTCAAGAAATGCTCAGGAAAACCCTCATACCTGAAAAATCAAAAAAAGGAAAGGGGTTACAAAACCAAGAGCAAAGCAGATAAGTAGAAGGACAATAACAGAAAGTAGCAGTTCTCCATCAGAACAGGTTAGCAAAAGTTAAATAAAACATTAAAGATAAAAGGAAGGGAAACACCAAGAATAAACATGACTCTGTCATTTTAACCACAAACTCACAACACAAGAAATAAGAGATTAAAAAAATCTGAGAATAATAACCTAGAGGGGGAAGAGAAAAGGGATAGAATGTTTTAATTCAAGGAAATAAGAGGCTATCAGAAAATGGACTATCTCATCTGAGATGTTTTATACAAACCACCTGGTAACCACTAAACAAATGAGAATAAAGACACAAATTACAAATAAGACAAACCCAATACAGAAATTTACATACCTGAATTAGTAATCCAAAAATCATGGAATGAGAAACAAAGGAAATGCAAGAGAACCAGAAAACAAGAGATAAAATGGCAGCGGGAGGCCCCCACATTTCGATAATCACTCTAAATGTAAAAGGATTGAACTCTCCAATCAAAAGACACAGAGGGGCAAGATGGATCAAAGAACAAGACCCAACAATATGCTGCCTCCAGGAAACACACCTCAGCCCCAAAGACAAACACAGACTCAGAGTGAAGGGATAGAAGACAATACTCCAAGCTAATAGTGAACAAAAGAAAGCAGGTGTCGCTATACTAATATCAGACCAAGTAGACTTCAAAGCAAAACAGATAATGAAAGACAAAGAGGGGCACTATATAATGATAAAAAGGACACTCCACCAAGATGACGTAACACTTATAAATATATACACACCCAACACAGGAGCACCAAAATTTGTAAAGCAACTCTTAAGAGAACTAAAAGGAGATATCAACAACAATACAATAATAGTAGGGGACCTAAACACCCCATTAACACCAATAGATAGATCATCCAGACAGAATATCAACAAGGAAATTATAGAATTAAATGAAAAATTAGACCAGATGGACTTAATAGATACATATAGAACATTTCATCCAAAAATAGCAGGTTACACATTCTTCTCAAGTGCGCATGGAACATTCTCAAGGATAGACCATATTCTGGGAAACAAAGCAAGCATCAATAAATACAAGAGAGTTGAAATAATATCAAGCATCTTTTCTGATCATAATGCTATGAAACTAGAAATCAACTACAAGAATAAAGCTGGGAAAGGGGCAAAAATGTGGAGACTAAACAACATGCTACTGAACAAACAATGGATTATTGAAGAAATCAAATATTATCTGGAGACAAATGAAAATGGAAACATGCCATACCAACTCATTTGGGACGCAGCAAAAGCAGTCCTAAGAGGGAAATTCATTGCAATACAGGCCCACCTCAATAAACAAGAAAAATCTCACATAAGCAACCTCAAATGACACCTAACAGAATTAGAAAAAGAAGAACAAACAAAGCCCAAAGTCAGTAGGAGGAGGGAAATAACAAAAATTAGAGAAGAAATAAACGATATTGAAACAAAAAAGACAGTAGAAAGGATCAATGAAACAAAGAGTTAGTTCTTCGAAAAA